AATAACAATACATAAGGGCCACGTGTGTATGTGTGCAGGCATTTTTCAAATAATTTTGCTAATTTTGGAATTTACAATCTCTTTGTTTTACAAGCCAACGTGAAAAGGCCTTGAGCATTTTGTAATCTGCAGCAAGCTTTGAAATTCATTAGATTAGAATGAATTCGGAAAAATATTTCCATTTAGTAAATGCATTTGTGCTGGAGGTACAGMATAATTGGATCATCCACACTTAAGCTGCTAAGATGGTTTTCAATTTGCTCGCATCGTTTAGGAAATGTGGGTTATGAAATTCAAAGTCGGAAGCAAAAGCAGAAAAAATCCAAAATATTTTTTTGCATGTATCACAACATACATATGTAAGTATGTATGTATAGTATGTTTGTATATATAAATCCGTCTAGTTTTTCTAAAGCCACTTCCTTCCTGTTATTTCTTGTTGTTATTGTGCAGCTATTAATAGCCGAACATTTGTAAGCGAAATAGTCATCAATAAAAACGCTTTAATAAATTGTCACCGCCGGGCATTTTTGTTGTTGCACGTGTTTTTTGCATACAACACTTTATTAAATTCTAATCTAAATGAAAGCCAACTCAAATCCCAACCATAAATATCCCTCCAGCGCATACACACGCACACACCATGTTCCACACGGAAATATGGCACATGCCGTTATTAAGAGGAACTACAAAATGTCAATCGCTTTTCAAATAATACTACAACAACAGGCGTGTTGTTGTAAATATTGTTATTGTTGTTGTAACACAATTTTGTGTCTAGAACTGAAAAAGTTCGAAATTTCGAAGCATATGGTAGATGTCTGTCGCGTCCAATTCAAAATTTGCATGCCAAAAGGTGAAGGAAACTGGRGCGAGGCGAATATGACAACAAAAACAAGCAAAAGTAATAATAGAAATGGACGATGCTATTGTTTTACAGATTTTTAAAATTGTTTTGTAAATTTGTTTACTGTTTTTTTATACCCTCAACAATGTATAACGTTGTTTTCAAGAGGGACGCTACAAATGTAGGCCGATAGGGACAGCAAACGCCGTCATATTTTTCCCCGGTCTTTTGTTATTTCTCTTTAGTAAGGTTTGCCATTTCATCATGAAAGGATATACAATCCAACGTAACGAGTCGAAATTATTAAAAYTTACTAYCGAAATTCGAAGTCAGTGACATTCACTTTTAGAGCGCTAAGTCCAGGGGTAGATTCACGGGTAAAGGGATCCGCTCCTGGTTACGTCAACCAATTTATGGTTGTCATAATCGTTCTGTGAGATCAACAATTGAGCATYTGAAGGAAAAACTAGAATCCACAGGCACAGTACAAAATATGCCCGTGCCAGTTTGTATGCAAAACAGTGAGACAAAKAAGAGCCCGTAKTGTCGTGAATATTGCTTCAGCATCAATTAAGGAAGACCAAACTAGACCCTCACACGTCGTTCTCAAGCTTTGGACAACTATGTGACGTAGGTGTGGTGAATTTTGCACAAAGAAGTTGGAACACATTTTTATAAGATCATATTGAAGTCGCTTGACCACCAGAATCATCRTACATTCGTGAATTGAGCTGAGCAAACACTTGAAAATTATCCGTATTTTCATCGCAAAGACATCTTCAGTGATTAGGCTCATATCTGGCTGAATGGCTTCGTCAATAAGCAAAATACGCGTTATTCGTTAGGCAGCAAACCACACGTACTCCATTGCATCCCGAAAAAATTACGGTTTGGTACRGTTTATGAGCCGGCGGCGTCATTACTGGGAATGGGAATCGTTAACGCTCAATGATAAYYYAATATTTTTGGCCCGAATTGAATGATATAGACTTGGACAATATGTGGTTCCAACAGAACMGCGCCACAAGCCACACAACGAATGTCAAAATCGATTTACCGACAATCAAGTTTGATGAACGTGTTATCTCATGAAATGGCCCAGTCAATTGGCCGCCTTGGACGTGCGATTTGACGCCGTTAGACTATTTTCTGTGGAGCTACATWAAGYCTATGATCTATGCYAACAAAYCAGCGACCATTGATGAACCTCGTACGAATATCGAACATGAAATTGCARCAGTATCGGCYGATTTTTRTTGSAAAACCKTCGAAAATTGGGTTCATCGTTTGAAATTCTGCAAGCTTGCCCCTGGTGGTCATGCAAAAGAAATCGAATGTACTTTTGATGGGACTAAAGAATCCCAAACCATTAAAAAAAACTTTTGTAGTGTGTCTTTTGAAAGACATATCAAAAAAAAAACATCAATCATCAGCTGRGCGAACTGAATCGATTCAGCCATATTCGTCGGTCTGTCCGTCGGCATCTATATACATACGTGAACTAACCCTTCAGTCTTTGAGATATCGCTCTGAAAGTTTGTACACGTCCTTTTCTTCTCAAGAAGCTACTCATTTGTCGAAAACGCTGATATCGGACCACTATAGCTTAGAGCTGCCATACAAAATGAGTGATCTGATTCAAGTCCTTGTATGGAAAAATTTTTTATTTGATGAGATATCTTCTCGAAATTTRGCATGGATTATTATTCAAGATAGCGGCGTAATCTCCGAAGAAATTGTTCAGATCGGGTGACTATAGTATATGGCTGCCAWACAAACCAAACGCTCACAAACAAGATATAAATTTTTTTATTTATATCATAAAAACGCACCTATGAAGGGTATTTTAGCTACGGTTCAGCCAAAAGCTTTAAAGCTTTTTTTGGTTTTTTTTTTCTTGCTTTTATGAAAATTCCATTAGAATAAAGAGGAAAGAGTGAAAACTGCAGGAAATGTCAATAGCAAAAACAACGACAGCACTGAAACAAGCTGAGGAATCTTTTCACGTAGGTGTAAGTATGTACGTATGCATATTCCGCACACTAATAATAATATATGTATGCATATATATGTACGTATATATGTGACTGCAAAAGAGAATCGCAAAAATACACCGTCCAACTGAACCCAGCCAAAAGGCACAGCAGATGTTGCCACAAATTTCTACTGCCTCAGTGCTTCAGTGCTAGATAACACTTACAACAACAAAAATAAATACTAATCAAGTACTTTACCTTCAGTAGTCAGCAGGTAACGGCTTTCCCTAAGAAGTGTTAGCAAAAAAGTTGCAAAAAAAAAAAGTATTTATAAAAGCAAAAGGCAAAAACAAAATAAAAATACAGAAAGCAAGTCGAGCAAATGCAACAACTGATAAGGAAACTGTTTAGTTTTTAATTTTGCCAAGAAAATATGCGACAACAAATGCGCTATACAACAACAACAACAAGGCTCTGCTGTGCATTTACCTGTAAAAACAATCAACATGTTGGAGCTTAGAATGAAAGAAAAAACACTTTGCGTATGTAAATACAGTTTACACGCACTTAATAAAAATGCGAATTCGCAAATATACGCATACTTATGTAATTTTTCTCTCTTATATAATGCAAGCAATACAATGGAACCCTTTTTGAGAAAAAAATATCCCCGTATAACGAACACGTGTAAACTGACGTTGAGCGAAACCGAAAGCTCCGTCAGCATCGGAAAGGACCTCCCCGAGCCGTTCGATACCAAACGAGGTTTCAGACAAGTTGAGCGCCTATCGTRTGACTTCTTCAATCTATTGATGAGAASGTACAATCTATAAGAGTGTACAGCTGCCAGCGTACTCCGATGATATTAATGCCGAAGGCAAAACGAAATATCTTCTGTCATCAAAAAAAAAAAACAGTCGTCGCACTCGCGACTAGGCACCTACGTCACTGTTGACAGTCATAACTTTGAAGTTGTAGATAATTTCGTCTATCTTGGAACCGGCATCAACACCACCAACAATGTTCGGACGGAGTAGGCAACTAAGAAGTAAAGTCCTCTCTCAACGAACAAAACCCAAACTCTATAAGTCACTCATCATCTCCGTCCTGCTGTATCAGGTTCATGGATGATGCCAACAGCTGATGAGTCGACGAGTCGAAAACACTTCAGCTCTGCCGTGAAGCAGAGRAAGAGGAGCACCTCCACTAAGTTGGAGGGACAAGGTGAAGCAGGACCTGGATATACAATAATCAGTGAAGGTCGTGAAGTCATATAACTTGTCTCATGTGAGTCGTCTTTAACTTGCGAAAAAAGAAAGTGTGCTGGAAGATCATCCTGTTGGGGGTGGCATTTAAGTAGATGTCTTAGGTATGATGCTTGTCAATTCTGGAGTCATATCAAAAGATCAGAAAAAAAGATTCAAAGAAAACTTCGAAGAAAGAACGCAAAAGATATGCTTAAGAATGTAGCTGAGCCTCACGATCATCAAACGCGTAATTACTTATGATGAGACGTAGGTTTATGAATATGACGTCAAAACTGTCCGACAATCTGGCGAACGGCGCTCTAAAAATGAAAACCGAAAGAACCAAAATTCGCTGAAGCCAGCATAAGCCATTTCAGCCGAGGCTTATGACAAGTATGTGGAAAATTAGACTAGACGTTAGTATGGTTGTATTGGAGACTATTTTTAAGATGGTAGAAAAGACTTTTATTAATGAAAAGAAAATGGAAAATCATTAGTCATCAACTGCAATAATTTCTACGAGAATAAAGAACTAATTAAATATACTTTTTAGATCATGTATATGTATGTATGTATGTATATATTTATATCTAAAAGTTGTACTTGTAGTGCAAATAATAATAGATGTGTAAATCAAAGCTTGGAATTAAAGATAACACAGTCAACTGAACGCATTTATGCCCACATACGTAGTACATACCAGCATTATACGAAACTTTAATTAATAAAACTGCAGCCGTTTAACCGACATTTACATACATATACACATATGTACATACACATGTATAACACCGCCAACACGCAACAACATGTGTCATACAAATGTCAAATAATGCGGATAAGCAAGTAAACAGTTTAAAGGAAAAATCTACGCATGGTCGAGGTAAGTTTCCAGCCAAACTGGGATATAAAAGCCATGCTAATCGCTTGCGACAACAATTTAAAACGAATAGTGAAACGAAAAGGTTGCAGAGTTAAAACGGAACACCTATATTTCAATCATTGGTCGGTTTTTGAATTCCAGCAAAAACTTAGGATGAAATTTTTAGTAATTCTAGCATCAGTTTGTGCCTTTGTAGCGGTAAAGGTAAGTTTTTCTAAATGCGATCACTATTTTAATACATGCATGCATTTGTGTTCATAACCTCAAACGGAAGCACTTGCATTTCCATTTAAGAACATAATTCAACCATAAACTTTTGTACATAACCTCAAAAACGTGCTCTCAAATATTTTTTATAAACGTTTAAGTATGCAATATCATTATAAACACAAACTCACCTTTCAGGCACAACTCGGTTTGGGCTTAGGCATTGAGCGAGCTGGCCCACCGCCGCCGGAGTTTTTCCAAAATGTCATTCTCAATGCAGAAGCAMAGAAAGTTCTCGCAACTCCCAGTTTACCCGCTGATTTACAACAACGTGTACGGGACACGCTGAGCAATTCTGAAACCGGATTCAATAATTGCAGTACCCTGACCACATTGCCCTGGTTTCAAATGCGCTGCGTGGCTTTACAACTATCGAAGTCCAAAGCTGAATTGAAGGCCATAGATGATGAAGCAAAAGCAAGGGCGCAGGCAGCTGCAACARCGGAAGCAAGCGCACCAGCTGCCGCAGATGCAATAAGCATTTAAATTTGATACAAATCACTATAACGTTAATGTTTTATGGTAATATTCCAATTTGAAGAATTTTGCTCTAAAATATTTTGGGACATTGCAACTGATTCACACGAATTTTACAAATAAACTAAATTGTCAATACATGGTGTTTGTTATGAAATAAAAAATATTTTGAAATATTTCCTTCCGCTTGCAATTGAATTTGTACGATAACTAGCATTACACCCTGTGTTTGAGACTGCCTTATCTCAGTTGAACTATACACTGCATTACCAGCAGAAATGAGCTTTTCTACGAATGTCATAATTAGCCCCAAAACTGCCAACTGTCAAAWTGTCAGGGTCGAATCGCCCCCCACTGTTGGTGAATGTTGGCGCAGTGCTAAACATTTTACCAGTCATTTCTTCTCCTATCTCCAACATACACCGAAAGCTCCGCTACGAAGTATACAAATTCTTTGGATGTGAAATATCGATTTGCAGCGCGAGAAAAGTCCATTAGCCCAAAAAACACACAAAAAATTGAATAACGTAGATGAAAATCGGAGTATCTAACAAAAAAAACAACTTCCAAGTGCAAATCAAGAGTCCACAAAGTMGCTGAATCGTTTTGGAAAACCAGTAAAACGCGTAATTAATAGCTCTAGTGAAAATCGCAGTGTGTGACTTGACGACTGAGTGAAAAAGCGAAAGTAGCAGGGATGGCGTTCGCAGGATTAAAGAAACAAATTAACAAGGCGAATCAGTATGTGACGGAAAAAATGGGTGGGGCGGAGGGCACAAAGCTGGATATGGACTTCATGGAAATGGAGCGTAAGACGGACGTCACCGTTGAACTGGTCGAGGAGCTGCAGCTGAAAACGAAGGAATTCCTTCAACCAAATCCAACGGCACGTGCTAAAATGGCAGCCGTCAAGGGTATATCGAAACTATCCGGTCAGGCCAAGTCCAATACATACCCTCAGCCAGAAGGTCTACTCGCCGATTGTATGCTAATGTATGGCAAAAAGTTGGGTGAGGATAATAGTGTATTCGCGCAAGCGCTCGTCGAGTTCGGTGAAGCGCTRAAACAAATGGCTGATGTAAAATACTCACTGGATGACAATATTAAGCAAAATGTCTTAGAACCATTGCATCACCTACAAACTAAAGAATTGAAAGAGGTAATGCATCATCGTAAGAAGTTGCAGGGAAGACGCCTCGATTTTGACTGCAAGCGTCGCCGGCAAGCCAAAGACGAGGAGATTCGTGGCGCCGAGGAGAAATTTGCCGAATCGCTGCATTTAGCGCAAATGGGCATGTTTAACTTGCTCGAAAACGACACAGAACAYGTGTCACAATTGGTAACGTTCGCTGAGGCGCTTTACGAATTCCACTCGCAGTGCGCTGAAATACTGCGCGGCTTGCAGGAGACACTTCATGAAAAGCGAGAAGAGGCTGAATCCCGACCAAAAGCTGAATTTGTGCCCAAAACATTGTTAGATCTGAATCTCGATGGCACCGGCACTAACGATACGGAYAGTGTGAGCACACCGGCACATCGGGCATCAGCGGCATCACCGCTACCCTCGCCCTTGCGCTCACCAGCCAAATCGCTGGTGCCGGGAGCTACGACACCACAACGCCAACAGCAACCATGCTGTCAGGCATTGTACGATTTCGAGCCAGAGAATCCGGGCGAATTGGGCTTCAAAGAAAATGATACCATTACATTGTTGAGCCGTGTGGACGACAATTGGTATGAAGGCTCTTTAAATGGACGCACCGGCTACTTCCCACAGTCATATGTGCAAGTTGTGGTTCCACTGCCCRATGGCAATTAAGGGGAGCACGCTTAGCTGCTACATTTGATGAGAGCAAAGCACTTCATCACTCCATAAGCAACTAGTTGACAAACAATAATTAATTATTTAATATTAAATTTAACGGTTAATTAAATATAAAGCTACTTAAAARCATAGAAGCATCAAAGAAAAATCGCAAACAAATTGAGATGTGTATTTATTATAATTATTAAACTCAATGGAAATTATAAAATTTATAAACAAATTTCAAAGATCAATTCATAAATACTTCAATTACAATTCAATTTGAAATCTTGGAACTTTTAAAATGATATTTGTAACTTATATGAAACAAAAATAACAAAAACAAAAACCGAAAATTGATTGTGCTATTATGAGTATTTATGTAATTCCTAACTTATTGCCTACCTATTATCAGCCTGTTATCATAAAAAGGAATATCATCCAAAATTGTTGTCATTTTTAAGTCATTGCATACCCTAACCTAGACTTACCTACACACATACACATAAAAGTAAACTTGTTCCCTATTCTCCATTTCTTGCTCTTAACTTTAACCTACATTGTGTGTGTTGTTTTGTTATTTATATTTATATATATGTATTTATTAAACATAATACAATAATATTATATACGTGTATATTTATTATAACTCTTACATTAATCGTATATATGTTTTCGAGGCGAAGTAAAACAGACATAAACAAGAATAGAAAACAAAAACGATAAACAAATAAAAAAATAAAACGAGAGCGAAAGCTCTCCAATTCCTAAATACCTTAAATATACCTTATACATTTATTGAAAAGACCCTAAATTAACTAAATAAAYATAAAGTTTGAACACGAAACCATCTGAATTGTATTGTATTGAAAATGGTGTAGCACTGAAGCTAAAAACAAGTGTCATAATTTAAACCACTGAATAAAATATAMATTTAAATTAAAAACAAAGAATACAGTGGTCTAGAAAATAAAACGGATAGGTTTTATAATTAGCTGTGTTAAAGTAATAATTTTAGTTTGTTAAAGTTTATCATGTAACTATGTAAGCTATTAAGGAATGACGAAAATATGTATAAATAGCAAAGATTTGTGTTTATATGTAAGTACAGCAAAGTGTGTGCTGATACAATGAGAAAAAGCGTTAAAGCTATCAGCGCTGGATGTGCGGTTTCAAAAAGTTGTGAAAAGTTTTTTCTTTTTTTAGAGCTAACTTCAAATGAATTTTAAACCATTAAGTGTTTGTAAAATGATACGTATATACATACGTGCATGTAATAATTTGAAATATTTCATGAAAGTTTGCTGCCTTTTATAAAGAGCTACTTAGAGAAAAATGTTAAACAATTGAAAAATAAAATGCATTGTAATCGAACCACTTGCTTTTTGGGTTGATTACACTAATTTTCAAAGGAAGTTCGGTTGCAAATATATATTTCTTATTATTATTTGAATATGTTTTTTGTATAACTTGCTAGTTTTTAAATAACATTTTATTAGCTAAACTGTTTGCTGTAATTAATTTGTATGCAAACTATTGCTTTAATGCTGCATAATGCTCATATTTTTTGTTGTCTAACATTCCATGCTATCTTAAGTACATATTTAAATATTTTTCACATCTTTATTATTATTTTTTTTTCTAAGCACAAAGCCAAAACTTGTCCGTTATTATTTTTGTGGCACTGTCACTCGAACGGATTACCATCCGATTAATGTACTGATAATAATCAAGTAGCTACTGTTTGGTAGCGTTACCGATAGCGTTTATGAGGATTTTTGAACAAATATATTATGAAAGAAGAAAGTCGAAGGTGGTTTAGTAGTCTCATGTTGGAATATAAAACGCAAAACAAAACAAAAAACTAAAAATAAAACAAAAACTAAAAACAAAACAATTCAAAAACATTGGTTTAATAATTGTATACATGCGTACGTACATAAAATATATAGAATAAAAGGCTAAACATAACGAAAAACAATAATGTATTGAAAATATATACATACTTACATACATATATGCAACTTGATGCAATTACGATGAATTATAACAATAATAATTGTAATAGAAATTTACAAGTGTAATAATGTAACAATTACCTACCCCTATACATACATACATACTATATACACATAATTAACGTTAATATGAAATATGAAAATTAACTATAAAGCTACCGCAAATGAAGATATAGAGATGAAGACGGCGCGTATAAGGTTTATGATATTGCTGATATTAAGATATAATATTATGTATTAATTACGTTATGCAAACAAACAAACAAGAAAACTTACAAAAATTATTGAAGCAAAGCGCTACAAATATGAAGGCAAAAACCGGATAACAAAAACCAAAAAAGAAATTAATAAAATTTAATTTTTAATGTGTCTTTCGTTCCAACGCAAGTATTCTTTCTTCCACGATTTTTTCATTTTCGTTTTCTTTGCATTTTATATGCTTACTGAATTAGCTGCTATATCATCTGGTTTATTATTTCCTCCCACCATCCACCGCCGACATCCTATAATGGCTACTTATCTACATACACCTGCTAGGTGAATGCCAACACCCCCGCCAATTGTCACAGCTACGAGTCATTAGCCGCCCTCCGGCGGCACTGAGAGACGCCAACACTTTTGTACGATCCTTTCCTAATTTTCTTCTGTTTCATTTACACGCTATTAATTTTACCGAATTCTTTCAATCCCCCGCGCTGTGGTTAAAACCAAATAAATATAATTAAATTGGGGGCGGTAAATGGCTATCTCTATGACAACAATGTCAATGCCAAGCGGCGGCCAATTCATACTCACTTGTGCATATTGAAGAGCATATAACACAGCATCAGCTCTATTATCAATAGCTTCCATGCTCCCCGCTACTGCGCATCCTTGAATGCGCACAGCCACAAACAATCCATAATATATTTATAGATGTTTATGCTTGTATGTACATACATACATATGTACATGGTAGTCTAGTATTGGCATTTTTGCCTCATTGGAATTTTCGGAATTAAACCCAAATGAAATCAAGGTTAATAAGTATGATGGCGCCAAAGTGATTGTGACCCCGAAGGAGTAACCTGTGTTCAAGCTCAATAATTATGTTGTAGTGTGAGTACAGGAATGGTGAGTTGGCGCCAAAGAGGCTCACAAAGGTTTCCCGACTGTGAAAATGTTACTTCATTTTTGATAATACACATTCATATATATAAATACATATATGTTTGTATACGCGTATGCACTTGCCGTGATGTGCGGATGTGTGTTAGGATATTACGAAGAAGTTAGGATAAATCATTTATTTGAATTGTCCATACTTGTAGATTCCTTTTAAGGAGCTCAAATAATCAAAGCTTATGATTTTATTTCTATAAAAGTTAACTGTTATCAATTTCGTGCTTGTTATTGTTGTCACAATTTTGTTATCATTTTTAAGTACTGTATTAAAAACTTCGTTCCTCATTTACAGTAAATAAAACTTAATTTCTTTGGAAGCAATACAAAAATTGAGATTTTTTATGGTCATTCGATAAATTACCAATTGATTTTTTCATAAATCCAATTTTTACATAAAAATAAATTTGTTTTAAATCTTTCTTCCTTTATCAAACAGCTTAGCACCTCATCTGGCAGCATTTTAAGAAATGCAATGTGGCAACATTGACGATTGTCAAAAGCTTCCAGTTGGTTTCCAATTAGAAACGTCATTGTCGTATGTCAAAAAGCCGATGACGTTCTTCTGAGCTTATTCATATATCTTCCAATTATCACTGATATTCACATTTGATTCAGATTTTTTGGTGGTAGTGTCTAGTCGAGTTTGTGCAGATTCGTGGACGGAGCGAACAGATAAATTAAATGTAATTAACTAATTGTATATTAAAATCCAATTTAAAATTTAAACTTTTATAAGTTACTGTTACTTCGCAATAGACTGGTCGTTTGGGATTTGGTCATTCAGACAGTTAGTGTATTGGTAGTGTGTCAAATTGAAGTTTGTGGAAGGGGCGTAGTGAAAATTGTTGCTTCTCGGTGAGAAATATCGGGGCGGAATACCTGCCTACGGTTAACAAACGCCAGCAAGTCCCAGCACATACACTTACAAGTGGCAGTGGTGCAAGTGGAAAGAAAATTGTGACGGAATTTTTCCAAAAATAAATTTGTATACGTGTGTGTGATTCATAGCCAAGTATTGTAGGACGAATTCACGAAATTTCATTTAAAATAACAAGCGAAGTTGGAAAACCAAATAGAAATCCAAGCAATATTAAATTAGTGTGTTTCCATTTTTGTTTTCTTATAAATTATTACAGCCCTTTCTGTGAAGTGAAATCTTGCCGTGTGAAGTTCCCGCTATATAAACGTTCGCTATATTGTTGTGTAAAATTGTAACAAAATGTTTAGTTTTCTGAAGCGCGAGAAAAATAATCAGGAAGTGGTAGAGAATGTTGTTGGCGAGCTAAAGAAAATCTACCGCAGCAAGCTGTTGCCTTTAGAGGAGCACTACCAGTTCCATGATTTTCATTCACCCAAGCTTGAAGACCCAGACTTTGATGCCAAGCCAATGATATTGTTGGTGGGTCAATACTCAACTGGTAAAACCACGTTTATACGTTACCTGCTGGAACGCGACTTCCCCGGCATTCGTATTGGCCCTGAGCCCACAACAGATCGTTTCATTGCCGTAATGCATGATGAGAAGGAGGGTGTTATACCTGGAAATGCACTTGTTGTCGATCCGAAAAAGCAATTCCGTCCACTAAGCAAATACGGCAATGCCTTTTTAAATCGTTTCCAATGCTCCACTCTCAACTCACCCGTCTTGCAAGCGATTTCCATTGTTGATACACCTGGTATTTTGTCAGGCGAAAAACAACGTATCGATCGTGGTTACGATTTTACCGGCGTCTTAGAATGGTTTGCAGAACGTGTGGATCGAATTATACTACTCTTCGACGCTCATAAACTCGATATCTCAGATGAGTTTAGACGTTCCATTGAAGCGCTTAAGGGCCATGACGATAAAATCCGTATTATACTCAACAAGGCTGACATGATTGACCACCAACAATTAATGCGGGTATACGGTGCGCTTATGTGGTCTTTGGGCAAAGTGCTGCAAACACCCGAAGTAGCGCGTGTCTATATCGGTTCTTTCTGGGATCAACCACTACGTTTCGATGCCAATCGTCGCCTATTCGAAGATGAAGAACAAGATCTGTTCCGCGATTTGCAATCACTGCCACGCAATGCAGCGCTGCGCAAACTTAACGATTTGATTAAGCGGGCTCGCTTGGCGAAGGTACATGCCTTCATAATTTCGGAATTACGCAAAGATATGCCATCAGTGTTCGGTAAAGATAGTAAAAAGAAGGATCTTATTAAGAATCTGGGTCAAATCTATGATCGCATTCAACGTGAACACTCCATTTCACCGGGTGATTTCCCAGACATCAAGAAAATGCAGGAGGTGCTGCAGCATCAAGACTTTAGCAAATTCCATTCTCTAAAACCACATTTACTGGATGTTGTTGATAATATGTTAGCCAAGGACATCGCGCGACTAATGGAAATGATACCGCAAGAAGAAATGACGCTCGTGTCAGAACCAGTGGTCAAGGGTGAGTTGTAGTTAGCATGTCATTTATGTCGAACTTCAAAATTTTTGTGTAGTGTCATTGCTTGTCGGTGTGGGCGCATGCATGTCTGTGCTTTTGCTAGTGAAATTTAACCCTTACTAATTCAATTTTCATAATCATATTCTTATATTCATATTTGTTTTGTTTGAATACYCAATTTAATATCTTAAATTTCTTATGTATTTTTTTATATGCTGATGTATGCGATTCACCTTACTTGTAACTAATCAGAACTCAAAGGTAAATGACACTACAAAAATTAATATTTTGAACAAATACTTTAAGTGTATCACAGTCACAGAATAAGAAGTTTTTATATAAAGTATGTTTTCTTATTTATAATATTTGTATGAGAGCTTTACAAAAAATACTTGTTAGCGTATTCCGGCGTTGATCTCATGTCCAGTTAGAACTCAAAACTCTAAAAAATGTCAAGAGAAGTTTGTAAATACATTTCATTTGCTGACATTTAGAATTATTTATTACATGCAAGTATACATATATTTGTGTTAGAAATTTGCACGTGATCTCCCTCCAATACTATTACTCAAAAACCGTTGGAACCTCAATTTCTTCACAACGCTTTTGCAATACCCAAGCAAACACGTCTAAAACAGTTGACCCAGTTAAGAGAAGAAATAAAAACTAGAAGACAARGTATTTAACAGCAACAAAAACGACAGAGGAAGTCATTGTTGGTTACTCATCGTGATTTACCATGTCGGCAAAACAAGTTTTCGCCGGCAAAGCAAAGAATTGCCATAGATAAAATTGAAAAGTAGCAAAATAGGCGGTAGCCAAGTACGACACACATGCGCACAAAAGCTGACAATAACAGAAAAAATGAAACAAAATCGAGTTGAGTTTAAAAAATGTTGCTTGCGCTTAAAGTATCTGCAAAAATTCAACGAATCATGACTTCAGAAGTGTAAATAAATTGAAATTTCAAAGAAAACTGAAAAGCCTTCATAGTCATATGATGGGCTGGCTCTCACCGCCATGGTGCACTTCGTTGTGTGAAAAATATTTTTTATGTGGATGGCTGTGCAAATGTAGTTGGTTGCACAAATGTTTAATGATTTGGCACCCATTAAATTAACTATTCGCACTAAATACTTTTACAGTAGTAAGTAGATTCTCAAAGAAATTTGTTGTAAACTGCTGTCAGTTGACCATTTTGCTGAAAATTTGACAGTTGGTAGTAGTGTTTAGTTGTTTTTAGTGCAAGGCGTAAAACTAACCTCAAAAATGTTTTACATAAATATTTGAATTGTGTTGCTAAATCAGAAGCATGTATTTATTACTTGAACTTAAAATTTCTCTATTTCTGTATAACTCGCCTGCGTTTTATGGCGCCAAATTCGCCACTTAGATAAGCGGTTTGCCGCTGCTACTGCTGCTAATTAATAAACAAATATGCATAGAGMAGGCTGTGATATGTGTATGTATGTATGTAAAAACGCCTGGCTTTTCAAGTTATTATGCAATACACTTTGCTAACATCAGCTCGCATCGTTTTCGCGCACACCAACTGATAAGCGTACTCTCTAACTTACATATGTCAGGTATATTAATCTATGCGAAGAAATAAAAAATATGTGGTAGTTATARATTAAGTAAAACGGTTTCTCTCACGGTTTTAATTTAAAAAGTCTGCTATTAATTTTTGTAGCGAAAGCTATTTTTATTTACACACTGTGGGATATTTTTTATAAGCGTTCGAGTAGCCCTTTAAACTGAGTAATTACTGGGAACGCTTTTATTTTTTAGTTTTTTATTATTTTGTTTTTTTATTGCAATTTTTTTTACCTATTTAAACAAAAAACCTCAATTTTTCATGAGTTCTCAAACAACTGTAAAATTTTATTAATTATTTTGTGCATAAAAGATTTTTATCGCAAGCAGAATTATGATCACAAATCATCACTGATAAGTTCAGAATCTCATCAAATTTTTTTGCAGTTGCTAAGTATTTTTACTTTTATAGAATGTTTGCTCTGGAGCTGTAAGTAGATCACCGTGACGCATCGGAATAATTTACTCACACTAGTACTTATATACGTACTTGCACAATTCGATATACATATGTATGCATATATTTTTTCAAATAAATTTACGCTTCATATTATACCGAAAACAGTCGAAGCAGCGCTTTTAGCCCGGTTGCATTATGTGCTCTACACATCCGCTAACCAAATTAATTACCGTCATACGGCTAAGGGGTTTTGTTCTTGTTTTCTCTTATGAAAAAATAAACCTGTTGACCAATTTATACATATGTATGTACATTCATATATGCAATTCACATGACAGTGTTAGCAATGCACGGCTCAGCATTGACTCACGCCATTCGTTTTTTATGACAGAAAAAATAGAATAAAATTAAAAAAATATACACTTGAAAACGTTTCTAATGGCTGGTCGCAAACGTAATGTAGATTTCCCTACATACATTCAACTGAGATTACTGAATGTGAATTTGACTATGTATGTACATATGTACATACATATCCACATATCCACATATGTATGTATGTGAAAGTACATTACCTAATTTTAAATATTTGTTGAATTAGTCGTTGCTTTGACCGGAACAACAGTCTAACACATTTAGATTTAGATAAGCTGTGTCATGGAAGTATTTCCAGCAAATAATCAGCTGAGCCATTCCAAAACGGATTGTCATTGTTGTAACAAATGTAAATAATGCATATTTTTTATTAATCATAAATACTGATGGGGGCACAATAGCATATACATACATACATACATATGTAGTTGCCATACAAACTGAACGATCGGAATGAAGTTCCTAYAAAAAATATTTTGAATTTAAAAGGAGTATTATAGCTTCGGTTTTTTTTTGTTTTTAAATGATATAATGCAGTCAAATACTTATTTGGAATTTGTAGCAACTTAGTTTCTTTAAATCAATTTTTACTTTAAATCAATGTTTTCACAGCTCAGAAAAAGTTGGTCTACTTCAGTTCATCTTCAATATTTTTTTTTTATCGATCCAGACAAAAAAAAACTCAATTTCTTTCCAGCCCAAAACTCTCACGATACACTACAGCAAATGTGACTTTGCATTATTTACAAATTTTTGTTGTTACCACCAATAACGTCACAAATCCAGTTACATTAACAGCGAACTTGTTTGCCTGCACCTTACAACTGCCTCGTAAAGTTCAAGGTCTCCAACAAAAGCTATGTAATACATTATTTAGTCAATTCAATTACACAGCTGCTAGATTTCTGAGTCACGCAGCGTAAATATTTGTATTTGTATGTTATTCGATTTGTATTTTACTTTAATTACTCTCTTGAAATTTAGTGTAGTATGTTGAGCGCAGATTTTTATAATTAAATGCTGGAAATTCAGAAAAAAAATTAATATTAATATAA